CCGTCAACAGACGAGTGGATAAAGAAGATGTGGTATACACACACACACACACACACACACACACACACACAATGGAATACTATGCAGCCATCAAAAGAAATGAAATCTTGCCATTTGCGACAATGTGGATGGAACTAGAGGGTATTATGCTTAGCGAAATAAGTCATTCAGAGAAAGACATCTATCATATGATCTCCCTGATATGAGGAAGTGGAGATGCAATGTGGGGGGTTTGGGGGGTAGGAAAAGAATAAATGAAACAAGATGGGATTGGGAGGGAGACAAACCATAAGAGACTCTTAATCACGGGGTGCCTGGGTGGCTCAGTGGGTTAAAGCCTCTGCCTTCAGCTCAGGTCATGATCCCAGTGTCCTGGGATCGAGTCCCGCATCAGGCTCTCTGCTCAGCAGGGAGCCTGCTTCCTCCTCTCTCTGCCTGCTTTTCTGCCTACTTGTGATCTCTGTCAAATAAATAAATAAATCTTAAAAAAAAAAAGAAATATATATTTAAAAAAAAAAGAGACTCTTAATCTCAAAAAACAAACTGAGGGTTGCTGGGGGGAGGGGGATAAGGAGAGGGTGGTGGGGTTATGGACATTGGGGAGGGTATGTGCTATGGTGAGTGCTGTGGAGTGTGTAAACCTGGCGATTCCCAGACCTGTACCCCTGGGGCTAATACATTATATGTTTATTTAAAAAATTAAAAAATTTATTTTAAAAAAAGACTTTAAAAAATATTTTTTAAAGTAATCTCTATATGCAACATGGGGCTTGAACTCATGACCTCAAGAACAAGAGTTGCATCCTCAACCAACTGAGCCAGCCAGGTGTCCTGAAATTTTTTTTTTTTTTAAAGATTTTATTTATTTATTTGACAGAGAGAGATTACAAGTAGACAGAGAGGCAGGCAGAGAGAGAGGGGGAAGCAGACTCCCTGCTGAGCAGATAGCCCGATGCGGGACTCGATCCCAGGACCCTGAGATCATGACCTGAGCCGAAGGCAGCGGCTTAACCCACTGAGCCACCCAGGCGCCCCTGAAATTTTTTTTTTAAAGTTAAAAAAACTCATAATATTTTGAACTATTTTCTTCTAAATAAATATATAAAAACAATTGGGATCATACAAGTCTTTTTTACCTAACACTGTTTTTCTTTTTTTTTTTTCAAAGATTTTATTTATTTATTTGAGTGAGAAAGAGAGAGAGAGAGAGAGAGAGAGGAGAGAAGAGATAGTGAGAGAGGCTGAGGGGAGAGGCGGGGGCAGGGAGGAGCTCCTCTTGCTAAGCAGGGAGCCTGATATGGGGCTCAATCCTAGGATCATGAGCTGAGCCGAAGGCAGATGCTAAAGTGACTGAGCCACCCAGGTGCCCCTTAACACTGTTTTTCCTAATTTGATATTGAATCATGAGCAGTTTTCAATGTCATTTATAATTCTTCAAAAATACAATTATTAATGAATAGTAATTCTTCGTGTGTGTACTATAATCCACTTAACTCATTTAGTTTTCCTTGTTTTTATTATAAACCTACAGTAGAATACATAATAAACATCTTTTCACATATATCTTTGTCACATATTTAATTACCTACTTACATTTGATTCCCAAAATGGGAATTGCTTTCTTCTTTTTTAAATGATTCAAGTGACCTAACAAGCTCCCAAACGTCCCCAGTATCCTTTTTAAGTTTGTGCTGCTTTCCTGACTCGGTTTGATCGAAGGCTTACTTGGTAACGTGGTTGGTGATTGCAGAGGGGTGTGGAGGACCGCAGGTGGCAGCAGCAGGCTGGGGGTAGTTCTGGGCTGCAGGGCAATCACCTGTTGAAGGGGAGTCTTACTCTTTGGTGGGCCCTGAAAGTTAAAGAGAAGGACCTAAAAAGTCACTGAATGGGCGGAATGCACTAGCTGGATGCACATCAGGCTAAACCAGCCTCGTTCAGTTTAACATTCTCTGAGCTGTATTCTGTGCTGAGACTGGCTGTGGGAACACAGAGATGAATCAAACACTGAACCTGGCTCACAGGGCTCAAAATCTGATAGGAGAGACATACAAGTAAACAGAGATTGACAATGTAGTGATAAGTGCTTATAAATTGGGAAGCACAAGGATTACTGGGAACATAAAAGAGGTTTTGTGCCTTCTCCCACACTTTATACAGTATATATACTCATACACAAATATAATATTCACTCATTCTTCTTTTTTATTCATTGCACATTTATTAAGCATATATCCTAGACCAAAGTGGATGGCAGTGGAGTTGGAGAGAAATTTTAGTAACATCAACAAGTAGAACTTCTTAGACTCAGTAAACAATTGTCCATGACAGAAACACAACTGTAAGGATGACTACTATGCCATTCACAAAGCCAGGAAATGGGTATCTTTCTGGCTTCATTTCCCCCCAGTTTTATTGAGGTATAATTGACAAGTAAAATGCCTGATTTTCTTTTTAAGTTTATTTATTTTTTTAGTGATCTCTCCATCCAACATGGGGCTCGAACTCAGGACACTGAGATCAAGAGTTGTATGCTTCTCTAACTGAGCTGGCCAGGTCCCCCATGGCTTTAAATTTTAAGAACAAATTTTATTTTATTTTTTAAAGATTTTATTTATTTATTTGACAGAGAGATTGAGAGAGAGCATAAATAGGCAGAAGGAGAAGGGAGGCAGAGGGAGAAGCAGGCTCTCTACTGAACAGGGAGCCCAATGCAAGATTCGAAACGGGAATCATGACCTGAGCCGAAGACAGCTGCTTAACTGACTGAGCCACCCAGGTGCCCAAGAACAATTTTTTTTTTTTTTAAGATTTTATTTATTTATTTGACAGGCAGAGATCACAAGTAGGCAGAGAGGCAGGCAGAGAGAGGAAGGGAAGCAGGCTCCCCTCTGTGCAGAGAGCCCGATGCGGGGCTCGATCCCAGGACCCTGGGATCATGACCTGAGCCGAAGGCAGCGGCTTAACCCACTGAGCCACCCAGGCGCCCCCCAAGAACAAATTTTAAAGGGCAAAGAAAATTTTGATCAGAGTGCAACAGCTTAAACTCACGTAAAGAAACAATTCTTAGAATACTGGCTTTCTACAGAATGTGTATGGCATAAAAATGAAAATGGAAAGGTCTGCCAGATTAGGAATAAATTGGTATTTTAGAGTCACTGTATTGTTGTGGAAACCAGTGCAAAATTGAGAGTGGGGTAACTAAATCAACTGATGGCAGGTAAAAGATTAAAATGAGAAAGATCTATAGTAGAGGAGGGGGAAACAGATATTGTCAGGAGCAGAGAGCAAACTGGGAAGAAGAGTTGAATGATGGAATAAGATTATAGATGAAATGATTTACAGGAGACTACTATGATCAGGAAGTGGTAGTGATGATAAAGACTGTCTCCTTCAGTAACATATTTGAATACAAGGAGAGAAAGTGTGAAGCAAGAGGAAACTGGTCTTGGGAACAAATGAATCATCTTCATGTAGTAGCTACACCCTGGGTAGCATGATTATTCATAAACAAATGCAGATTTCCTGTGGTGGTAGTGAACCAGGCTTCGAAAGCACTGCTAATGTTAGGCTGCCAAACTAATCTAAATGAAAGGGCCCATTTCTCTAGACTGAAAATTTTTAGCAACAGTAACTTACTCTTACAGCATTTTCTGAATATTGCAAAAAGGACTGTTAGGGCATCAAATGGGAGACTGAAGAAATCTCAAGGTCTACTTCCAGTTTTCCCCTAGGTTGGATGTATTTCACATGTAAAATGGTGGTAGTAGAGTACTTAATTCATAGAGTGGTTATGAGGATGAATCATAGTTTCTGAGCCCCAGTTTCTCTTGTTATAAAAACGGGATAGTGATTTTTTCTTTTTCATTTTTTTTTTGGTAACGTGACTCAGAAGTAGGTGGTGAAGGCACACTCTGGATTGTACAGATCAGGAACAGCTCATTGATTGCAAGAGAGCTGTAAGGTTATATTTTCTCTAAGGTGGCTGCTCAATTATTATTTGAAAGTTCCCAGAGACCTTATATAATTTTCTCATTAAGATTTATTATTATTAGGACATAACCTGAAGTAAGGTAAGATTGCCTTATAATTTTTATATACAGAAAAATATACTATCTTTATGCTAAAGTCTGCTAAGCAATAGAATATTATAGCATCCAGTGTATTAAGCTCTGTTTTTTTTATCAGCAGAGGGATGTTATATAAATCCATTAGTGAAATTTAGGAAAATTTTACCCAGACCAGGGATGAAGAAGAACAATGCACCATTTCCCTCCCCCGCCCCCTTTTTTGATGTGCTCATCTTCTGATAAAGATATATTTACACACAGAAATTGAGAGAGAGAACAAAAACAGATGGGAACAAACTTGAATCTAAGAAAGACAGAGAGGGTGTTTTGGAACCAACAATAATTGGAACTAACATTGACTATCTTTTCTGGGCCAGTTCCTTCACATAAATCATCTCCAATTTTCACTACAACCAGCAAGGCAGGCATTAGAAAACTCAGGTTCAGAAATGTTATATAACTTACCCAGGGTAATATAGCTAAACATGACAGAGCTGGAATTGATAGTATCAAGAACAGTCTGCCACCAAAGTCCCTGCTCATTCTACTATAGCACTCTGCGATAAAATAATGTACTGTTACTTGGGAAATTTGGGTCCAGCGGATTTGGACAATTTCTTTCTCTATTTCCCTTCTGACGGTCTTTCTGTTTCCATTGCTTTTGGTTCTGATGTTTTCACTCTAGAGCCTATACGGGATCGAAAATGGGGTATCTGTAAACAGAATGATTCCACAGCCTCCGCTAGGTAACATTTCCTTCCTTCAGATGCTTACCTGGGATTTGACCGGGGTTGGGGTGAAAGAGTAGAGGTATGAGGAGGGGGTGGGGGAGGGGGTAAGTTAGAAAAGATAGGTGTTTTTTTTTCTTACCTTTAAGTTGTTTATGGATTTCAGGACAACCCGTTGGCTATTCTCTTGCTCGGCATATTACTATTTTTTTTTTTTTTCTAATTTTGGGGCCGTTTGGGATTAAGGATTTGGTATCTGTAGGAAATTTCTAGATCCAAAAAAAGTTAAGGTCAAAGACAATTCATCTGTTTTGGGGGAGGATTTTGTGTGTTTGTATGGAAAAAAGGTTGTTTCTGGGTCACCCCGAGGGGCTTACAACGGATCCCTCTCGAATCACGAGAGACGAAAACGAGCAGATTCCCTCACCTCCTGCTCTCAGGTGAACGTCCGAGTGACAGAAACGTTCACGTACCTCCTGGAGAGAAGGAAAAGGTGCAAAGGCGCTCACGGCCTGAGGGCTGGGGGTGGGGCTGGCACCCGCCACGGTCTGTGGGAGATCGAGGGGCTTCCGCCTCCTGGGAGGCATTGTCGGGGGCGGGCCGGGGGCCGAGGGCAGCGCAGCCAGCGCGGGGCCCCCGCCATCCCCAGGCCGCGCTCCCCCGCGTTCCCTGCCGCTCGTGCCCGGGCTGCCGCCGCAGTCCCGGCGCCGTAGCCGGGCGTGGGGTCCAGGGGGCGCTGTGGCCCAGCGGCGCCGGCGGCAGGAGCGGCCACGGCGACGCTGGAGGCTTCGCCGAGGATCCCCGCCTGCAGCACCTCCGTCGTCCCGCCGCAGCCTTGCGCCCCCGGCCCGGTTCAGCGGCGCTCCTCCGGGAACCGCGTGGCTGCGGCGGCCCGTGAGCCCGATGAGGCTCGGCGGGCTCTGGGCCTCAGTAGCAGCGGCGACCACAACCCCTTTAGGATCGAGAGGCTTCGCGGCGGCGCCTGGGGCCGCGCCGGAGCCCTCCGGAGGAGGCTGTCGGCTTAGGGACGACCCCCCCGGCCATGCTGTGGCGGCGGCGGCCGCTGCTCGAGGTGAGTGTGGCGCGACGCGGTCCCGGGCTCGCTGGCCTTCCGCCGCGGGGAAGGGCCCTGGCAGCAGCCCTCGGGCCGAGCGGACGGGGCGTCCTGCTATTGCGGCCGCCTCCCCCACCCCGCGGCTCTGGGCCCTCAACCCTTAGTCTCCGCGTCCCCCGGGAGGCGGGAGGCGCGTGGGGGGCGACTAGGCCCCGCGCCGCCGGGTAGCCCTCGCCCTGGCCTCGGTTCCATTGCGGCCCGGTGTGTTGGCGGAGGCACTGGCACCGTTCAGGTTGGCCCCGGGCCCGGGCCGAGCGCAGCCTCTTACCCGGGGCCCAGCACGTACATCCTGGAGGGAGGCTGAGGACGCCTGTTTGCAAACAGCCTTGGCTTCTCCGCGCCCCTTACCGAGTCCCGCAGAGCCCCGGGGGGGAGGGGCGGGAGGGCTGGTGAGAATTGGAGTGCGGAAAGTGCGGGGCCTTGAGAGCCCCCCCCCCCCGTACTCCCGAGTGTCATTCACCGGTCTGACTGGGTTGAAAACAACCGTTTGCGTTTTATTTGAGCTGAAATTTCATCACCTGCTGGCGGCTCATCCCTGTCGCTTTCTATTACATTACATTTTGCCTCTAAGAGTGGTCTACCTTGGAGAAAGCCCCATCCTAGCTTTGTCCGCGTCCTAGTTTCGTGCGGAAATACTTACAATTATAAAAATATGTTTTTTTTTAAAATAGTGGTCTTTCCCCTTCTCCCTAATAAGAGAGAGTAAATATTTTAATGCCTCAGTTTTTGGTACAAAAATGTTCCACCTAAATAGATCCACGGAACAGATGGCAAGAGGATTTTAAAAAGTCGTGCTAACTGTACTAATAACAGATACCTGATGGAAATGGGACATAGTCTAAATTTTAGAGGTTAAGTGATTTGTTCTGGTATTAGTGTGAAAAAAGGGTAATGATTACAGTTTGATACCTTAAGTCAGGTATTTGGGTGTTTATGGTTTATGATAAATGTGGTTACAGGTTATTCTTGCTTTCCCTATAATGAATGTGAAGATTGTAGGATTAATAAGTACTTTTTTTTTTTAAAGATTTTATTTATTTATTTGACAGAGATCACAAGTAGGCAGAGAGGCAGGCAGAGAGAGAGGGGGAAGCAGGCTCCCCGCTGAGCAGAGAGCCCGATGCGGGCTTGATCCCAGGACTCAGGGATCATGACCTGAGCTGAAGGCAGAGGCTTTAACCCACTGAGCCACCCAGGCGCCCCAATAAGTACTTCTAAAACTTTTATAATCGTGAATAAAATAAATATGCTTACTGTAGAAAATTTGAAAAGTACAGAAAGGTACTGTGTCAACTCAATAAATATTTAATAGTGAGGGAAAAGTCACCCATAATTTTATAATTAGTACATTTTGATGGTCATTTAAAGTTTTAAATGGGCTTGGACTATTGGTGATTTAAAAATTATTTGTGATTATTACTTTAATAATTATTCCAATTATTATGATTTTATTATTCTATTACATTCAGAGTTAACTGTTCCCTTTTACTGTTTAACATCCAGTCATTTGTGTAAGACATATAAAAATGTTTTACTAAATTACATTGTGGGTATAGTTGAATTCATCAACTTAAAGGGAATAACATAGTTAGCTACCTAAAAGACCTCTGACTTACCTCCTGTGCAGCATGGGAAGCTCCTGAGGTGCAGTAAACATTTTTGAGAACCTATCATGTTAGATGTAGTAGCCTTGGATTGTTTTTGTAAGATTTTGCTTAAATATTTATAATTGTAAAAAACTGGCTTGATTAAAAAAATGGGGGTGAGTAGATTAAATTTCAAAAGTAGTTCTTCTCAGTGTGTCTCTGAAGACTGCCATCATTAGAATCAGCTGAGATTGCTTATTAACATATGCAGATTCCTGGTACCTTTAATCAGAATTTTTAGGGATAATGGTGGCCCAAGGGTTATTTTTATCAAGCTCCCTGGTTCTTCATCCTACTAAAGTTTGAGAATAAGTTAAAAGTTAACAAACCTTATTAAGCCTAATGACAGTATCTGTTTTCTAGCAAAGCTATCAATCTTAAGTGGCAATACATTTTTCATAGCAACAGATAATGGTGTTACAATCGTAGAAGGAAAAAGGATATTTCAAGAGATAGCTGATTCAATTAACATATATTGAGAGCCTTTTCTGGCAGCTGTGGTATTATAGAAGGATACCTGGCCACTTACCTTGCACTTAATCTCTCCTTGGACTTTGAATTCATTGTCTATAAAATATAGATAGGTATATACTTACCTTGCAAGGCTTTTAGGGTTAATTCAGTTTCGTAATTTGTAGAAGATCTTTATAAAGTTTTAGCTATTAATATTAAGTGTCAGGTCCTGTCTTTGATGTTCTAGGTAACACAAAAATGTGGTCTCTGCTAGCAACTAGCCAGCTGTGTAAGCAGAACATGTTTAACTCTTAGAAGGCAGCCATCAGACAAGAGTTGTAATTGAGTAGATCATGCTTGATCTCTCTTTAAGGCTTCTAATGTTTAATCCAATAGCTTGACCTTTAAGAATATTAGTAATTTTTATGTGTGGTCATTCCCTTCTCTTCCAATTCCTGATTCAGTGTTTTATTCTGTAAGGAGAAAGTTGTATATGTTGCCTGGTAAGCAATAGTTGTATATTAACTTCCTTAGAAAGACAGAATGAATAAAGATCCCATTTCTTCTTTGTTGCTAAGCTACTAGTGTTTATACCATTCAGTAAACTTTTATTTGGCACCTGGTATGTGCTGGCCATACAGGAGTTGCAAGGCACAAATCTTGTTTAAAAGATAATTGCCTGGGGGCACCTGGGTGGCTCAGTTGTTGGATGTCAGGCAGGGATCCTGGGATCAAGTCCCACATCAGGCTCCGGGCTCAGCGGGGAGCCTGCTTCTCCCACTCCTACTCCCCCTGCTTGTGTTCCCTCTCTCTCTCTCTGTTGAATAAATAAGTAAAATCTTAAAAAAAAAAAAAAAAGAAAGATAATTGCCTGGATTTTAACTTATTTCTTATGTCCCTAGAGGGATGGGTGTGTGTGTGTGTGTGTGTGTGTGTGTGTGTGTATATCTGTGGTGTTTTATGGTTGTTAATTGCATGATGTGGTGCAGAGTATGGAGTCAGATGTGGGCAGGAATCCTTATTACAACTCTTAGAACAATGGAACATTTAGATCCTGAGTTGCTTCTTACGTAGTAATAATCGAAGTAATAGTTGCCATCACAGAGTAGAACTGGTTCCATGAGATAAAAATAATAAAAAGCAATTAGCTCAGGATCTGTCTCTTAGAGGGTGCCCAATAAATGTTCACATCCATTCCTCCTTTTGGGAAAAGCAAAAAAAGAAAAAAAAAAAAGGGTTTGGAATTTCTATGAGACTTAAAACATAGTAGCTTTGATTTTTTTTTTAGATTTTATTTATTTATTTATTTGACAGAGAGAGAGATCACAAGTAGGCAGAGAGGCAGGCAGAGAGGGGGGGGTGGGAAGCAGGATTTGAGGCTGATCCCAGGACCCCTGGATCGAGACTTGAGCTGAAGGCAGAGGCTTAACCCACTGAGCCACCCAGGCAACCCAGTAGCTTTGATTTTTTTAGAGACTGCATCTACTTTTAGAATTCTTAAAAATTTTTGATAGAAAACAGTTTTGATCATAATTGTTGTTCATATTTCCCATTTCATTTTTACTGAATAAATGAGCTGTTCTCTATGCATAGGGTACACTTATTACATTGTTAGAGTTTTATTTGTTTTCCATTACTCATTTTCAGACTTTTACATCATTTTTACTTGTGTGTACCTCACTTGCATTAATACAGAGCAACATTTTTAGTGTATAATAATCAGCAAAAGATAAATGGTTGCAGTTTGGAATAGAAATAGTTCATATACTTAGTTTTTAATAAAAAACAATATCCATTTATTAAACTTAAATTATTTAAAAACTGAAGGGTTTTCAAAACATAGACTTTTCCTTACAAACTATAGTAGATTAGATCTAGATTTTTATAACCTGTCAGATATGGGATTCAGTTTTATGACCTAGAGGACCATGGACGATTTTCCTATCCCCTTTAAGCCTCAATTATTCTTCTATAAAATGAAGCCATTAGTACCCATTTTATAGGGTTGTTGTGATGATTAAATGATATAATGTGTAAATCAAAGCTACAGTTCAGTCCCATGAGTCCTGGTAAATCATTGTTACCCTGAAAGTGGAAAATATACTACTTGTTTACTTCTGTTCGAAAGAACTGGAAAGATCATTATTAATACAGTTGTCAACTAGGAAATAAAATCAACATTACTTTTGAACTATTAGAGATTGCTAAATTAAGGAGAAACAAAGCTATCGTAGAGTTAGTATTTTAATGGTGTAATTAGTGGAATGCTTTATGCTTTATAAATGTTATTTAATAAAACAATTAAAAAATGCTATTTATAAAATATTTCCTGTTTTACAGATCAAGTGGTACTTAAATTCTTTTTATATTTCCTATTTTACAAATTAAGTGATATTTTAAACTTTTTTCTTTTAATTATTATAAATAGCCCATTTATAGAACTGAACTGTTGGAAAAATGAGAACAGTATATAATGTTTTATACTTATGAAATATTTCTTGACAGCCTTTAATAAAATAAGGTAAAGATAAGGCAATTTCTCTTTGGACACATTGAAATCAAGAAAAAGTTACTGGGTTCATATTAGGCAAGGGAAAGGAAAACTGAATGTGTGTTGATGGGTATCTTGAGGCATTTGGGATTTTATATTAGAGAACCATTTGTAAAAATCTTAATTTTTTTCCCTATAAATTATCTTTTAGTTGAAAATCCTTACAGTTGTCTAATTAAGCTTAAAAATGCTTTTGTGACTCTAGGCTTTGGACTGTAATAGTTTCTTTAGTTGATAGTTCTGTGGTGATTTGTCATCTTTTTTCTGATTGTTTCTGATAATTTATCCTTAAGGATATGTGACTTAATATCTATCATGGTAGTTCTGTTCCCTTTTTTAAAATACAGAAGTAGTAAATCTATGTCCTAGGTTTTAAAGATTATTAAACTTAAATGAAAATTTAGTATCTTTTGAGGGAAGGAGTCTTAGGAAATAAGACCTAAGGAAATGGTAAAAGGAGTCTAGAATTTTCCATTAATTAGGAAAAGTTTGGGTATATTCAGTCCTGGGTTCTCCTGGCTATTTGAAATAATATTAACTTTAGAAAAATAATATTAACTTTAATATTAATTATATTATAAATTATTATGCATTATTACAAATAATAAATACTTATATGTACTTATATATGGTTAATATACATGAAGTAAATATATATCAAATATACAATTATTATAAATTATAAATATAAATATCACGTGAAGTGAAGAACATATGTATTTCAATTAAATTTAAAATATTAGGTAAGGCTCTTTTTTTTTTTTTAAGAACAGCTTTATAAAAAAAAAATAGATTTCGGATACCATGCAGTTAATCCATTTAAAGGGTACAGTTCAATGCTGTTAGACTACTCAGAATTATGCAGATATCACCACCATCTAATTTTGGACATTTTCATCACTCCAAAAAGAAATTCCTCCCAATCTACCCAGCCCTAGGCAACTACTAATGTGCTTTCTGCCCTCTATGGATTTATCTATCTGTTCTGGACATTTCATATAAATGGAATTATAGGATATGTGAGTGGTTTTTTTCTTTTAGCATAATGTCTTCAGGGTTTGTCCTTGTTGCAGCATATATCAGTACTTCATCTCTTTATTTTATTTTATTTTTTTAAAGATTTTTTATTTATTTATTTGGCAGACAGAGATCACAAGTAGGCAGAGAGACAGGCAGAGAGATGGGGGGAGCAGGCTCCCTGCTGAGCAGAGAGCCCGACGCGGGGCTGGATCCCAGGACCCTGGGATCATGACCTGAGCCGAAGGCAGAGGCTTTAACCCACTGAGCCACCCGGGTGCCCCTACTTCATCTCTTTATACTGCCAAATGATATTCCATTATATGGATATACCACATTTTTATCCCTTTGTCAGTTTGGGTTATTTTTTTCTCTTTGGTTGTTATTAATAATATTGCTATGAACATTTAACGTACAAGTGTTTTCCTTTGTTTTGGGTACATACCTAGTGTTATATTGCCAGGGTCAAAAGGTGACTCTTCAAATCTTTTTGAGGACCTGCACCATTTTGCATTCCCAACAGCAATGTAGGAGGATTCCAGTTTCTTTCTTTCTTTTTTTTTTTAAAGATTTTATTTATTTATTTGACAGAGATCACAAGCAGGCAGAGAGAGAAGAGGGAAGCAGGCCCCCTGCTGAGCAGAGAGCCCGATGCGGGACTCGATCCCAGGACTCCGGGATCATGACCTGAGCCGGAGGCAGAGGCTTAACCCACTGAGCCACCCAGGCGCCCCGGATTCTAGTTTCTGCACATCCTCACCAACCCTTGTTATTTTCTGTCTTTTTGATTAGAGCCATCCTAGTGGGTATGAAGTGATAAGGCTCTATTTGAGGATTATAACTTTCATTTACAGTCATTAGGTAAATTGTGAAGCTTTTACTTGGCAGATGAATTGCCAGATTCTTTGATAATAAGGAGTCTTTTTTGCCTTGAGGATAAATATGTGAACTTTCTAGTTTACTGTTTAGTAAACAGTGAACTCGACAAAACTAGTTAACCACTTTGGGTGGTAATGGGGATAGTGGTATGGGGATTTCCAACTGAAAGGTTGTCTTTTAAGAACATTTTTTAACAAAAGTCAATTGTAAATGTTAGGTTTAGTTTTCCTTTAATTGCTAAAACATTTCTAAAAAGATAGAGTCCAGTGCATATTTAGCCATTAACATTTCTAAGCAGTGAGGTCTGACAGATTTTAAGGATTGCAGGTACCTCTCTATGATATGTAATTCTGTATAAATTCAGTTTAGTCATTGTTCTTTATTCTTTCTCTCCCCCAAGGATTTTAAGTAATCTCTACACCCAGTGTGGGGCTCACACCTAACACCTCAAGTTTAAGAGTCACATGTTCCACGGACTGTGCCAGCTGAACACCTCTATTCTTTATCATTATTCATAGTATAGTCTGTTATTGTTTGTTCCCATTTAAGATATTAAAGCTTTTATATGAGGTTTTGAGGACACAGTTTAAAGTCAGCAATAATGACTTGCTAACGATTCTAAAGTTTTTTTCAAACTAGTTAGGAAATACTTCAGGGAACTATCCTTTGAACAAAGTGCAAGTTTTGAACCTTCATTCTATATACAGTGGATCACCCTCAGTATTTTCTCACCTGATTAGGATCACTTTTAGGTCTTTCAGCTGAGTGAGCTAAAAGGATGTTTTAGGTCTTTGAACTGAGTGAGCTAAAAGGCCTCACTGGTTTGTTATACGGTCTTTTAGTTGTTTTGAATGTCATAATTTCTGTAGAAAATTAAGAAAAACAATAGTTTTGGAGCCTTTCAAATTAAGATTAATGAAGAGGTATGCATTTCTGCTTGTAATATGGTTCCTTTTTTTTTAAAGGTTTTTTAAAGATTTTATTTATTTATTTATTTACTTATTTTTAAAGATTTTATTTGACAGACACCATGAGAGAGGGAACACAAGCAGGGGGAGTGGGAAAGGGAGGAGCAGGCTTCCTGCCGAGCAGGGGGCCTGACGTAGGACTCCATCCCAGGATCCTGGGATCATGACCTGAGCTGAAGGCAGATGCTCAACCACTGAGCCACCCAGGTGCCCCTATTTATTATTATTAGTTTTTTATTTTTTAAAGATTTTGTTTATCTGACAGAAAGAGCACACACAAGCAGGGGAAGCAGCAGAGGGAGAGGGGAGAAGCAGGATTTCCATGGAGCACAGAGCCTAATGTGGGGCTCGATCCCAGGACCCTGTGGTCATGACCTGAGCCAAAGGCAGACATTTAACCAACTGAGCCACGCAGGCGCCCTAAGATTTTATTTTTGAGTAATTGCTACACCCAAGATGGGCCTCAAACTCACAACCCTGAGATCAAGAGTTGCATGCTCTATAGACTGAGCCAGCCAGGTGCTCCTATAATATGATTCTTTTCTAACCTCTCATGGTTAAAGTGTTTTAGTTTATCTGCCAGAGTTTGTTTTATTAAAATGAAGAAAGAGTAAATGGTATATGTTTTTGATATTATATCTAAGCAGGACCTTGGCTCTCTCAAAATTCTCTTTACTAAAATAACAAGCAGTTTAAAAATTTTGTGGAAATATTGTCAGGGTTTATGTAAATTGTAGCTTCCATTTTTCATTTTCGATTGAACAAGAGAAACAGCACTTAAAAAGTAATTGAAGCAGAATACTGCCAGTTTGAGAAAATCCTTAAAACTTAAGAATACGTCATCTAAACATTTTTGTGATTCTGGTGATAAAACTACCCATAGGTGTTTGGTGTTGTTTTTGTACTTTTTAAAAAAAAATTTATTTGAGAGAGAGAGAGAAAAACAGTGAACATAAGGGGAGATGTTGGGAGTGTGGGGAGATAGAGAGGGGCAGAGGACCCCCTCTGAGCAGGGAGCCTGACCAGCTTGATCCCAGGATCCTGGGATTATGACCTGAGCCACTGAAGGCAGATGCTTAACCGACTGAACTACCCAGGCGTCTGTTTTTGTTTTTAATTAGTAGCTGAAGTAAACTATTTTTTTTTTTTTGAAAAATTTTATTTATTTATTTGACAGAGATCACAAGTAGGCAGAGAGTGAGGAGGAAGCAGGCTCCCTGCTGGGCTCGATCCCACACCCTGGAATCATGAGCTGAGCTAAAGGCAGAGGCTTTAACCACTGAGCCACCCAGGCGCCCCTGAAGCAAACTATTTTTGAGATTATTGTGAGGTCATTCTTGGAAGGTTCTGCTTTATGTGTAAAAAAGAAGGTTGAGCTCTGCGAGGGAGATGTTACTGCAGCTACAGCTTTGGGCACCCGGCTCCTGCTCCTGACTCACCACTGTTTGCTCCCTCTCACCAAGAACAAGTCTATCAGGAAGCTGCACGCCTGTTACAGCCATGGCTTTTAAAGACACCGGGAAGGCCCCCGTGGAACCCGAGGTGGTGATTCATCCAATTAGATCTGATCAGCCACAGCCTAAGTACTTGGAGAACGTGTGCGCTGACTTGATCAGAGGTTTAAAGGAAAAGAATCTCAAGGTGAAAGGACCAGTTCTGGTGCCCATCAAGACTCTGAGAATCACTGCAAGAAAAACTTTCTTATTGTGGTGAAGCTTCTAAGATTTGGGATTGTTTTCAGATGAGGATCTACAAGTGACTCATTGATATCTACAGTCCTTGAGAGATTGTTAAACAGATTACCTTGGTCAGTATTGAGCCAGGAGTCAATGTTGAAGTCACTATTGCAGATACTTAAATCAGCCTTTTAAATAAATTATCAGTTGTTAAAAATAAGTAAAAAGCAAGGTTTAGATTCTTTAATCTGGCATAGTCCTTCCTAATTGGTCCCAGCATCATCGTGCCTCACTTCCTATTTCTCTATACCCCACTATCCTGCCTTTTAAAGATTCCAGGTTTGGGATGCCTACGTGGCTCAGTCCGTTAAGCACCAGACTCTTGATTTCAGCTCAGGTCTTGATCTCAGAGTCATGAGTTCAAGTCTTGCCTTGGGCTCTACGTTGGGCATGGAGGCCCCCTATCCCACCTGCCAAAAAAGAGATTCCGTGTTTATGGAGTTTTCCTTGATTTCTTTTGCCTTGTATTACTTATTTGTGTAATATAAAATTTTTGTCCACTATGTGCTTTCTGGTAGGTATTTCACATATATTCTTTCTAATTCTTAAAATGACCCTATAATATTCATAGTGTCATGCACATTTTATAGCTAAGGTAACTAGCATGGGGATTTTTATTGACTTTCCTAAGCCTACATCCATGATTCAAACCATATGTCTCTGACTACAAAGTCTACAGTCTTTTTCATCATGTGACCCTCTCCACGTGTTTTGTATTTGTTTTATCTTAAGATAATCCGGCAGTGTCTGGGTGGCTCAGTTGGTTAAGTGTGGACTCTTGATTTTGGCTCAGGTCATGATCTTAGGGTCCAGAGATCAAGCCCTCAGTTGAGCTCTGTGCTCAGCGGAGAGTCTTCTGGGGGTCTCTCTCTCCCTCTGCCCCTCTCCCTGCCTCTCTCTCTCCCTCTTAAAAAAAAAAAAAAAATTCCGTAGTGCTTTAGGAAGTATTCATATTAGGAGAGCTCAAGTTTAGTTGGTTGACTTTGGTGGCATTTGCCTTTGAAGTATACTACTGGCATGTAGCTTTTTGTATGAGAAAAAAATGTGGGGTGTCTGGGTAGTTCAGTCAGCTTGGGGTCTGACTCTTGGTTTCACCTCCAGTGATGATCTTGGGGTCCTGGGATCGAACCCTGCATGAGATTCTCTCTCTTCTCCCTCTGCCCTTCTTCTGTCCCTGCATGAGATTCTCTCTCTTCTCCCTCTGCCCTTCTTCTGTGCTTGCTTGCTTGCTCTCTCAAAAAAAGAATGTGTAAGTGTATTTTGGGAATTTCAGCTTTCGTGTATATATTTTTGAAATAGATAACTGATTTGCTATTGTTAGAAAAATAGTAATAACTGATGTCTGGGCATCATTTCTCTCATCTGAAAATGAGTGGTGGACTAGATGTTAATGTCCCTTCCACATTTAATATTCCGTTGAGATTTCCAGGGAACTGAATGAAAAAATAGATGGCGTATGGACAGCTCCAGGCCATGGTGATAGTATCATTAATGAAGAAAGAGAACAGGTGGCAATGGGCTAAGAAAAATAGGGGAAGTAAAACAAGGGACTGTAATTTACATAGAAATTTCCCCTGTAATGAGTAAAGAGACTGTATTTCTAAATAAAGACACAGAAACTCGGGGAATTAGCTGGATGAGTAGTTTTAACTCTTGCTTTTTCCCTCCATACCTGTTACTCCCATTCTTCTGTCGTTTCTTGTGATAGTTGAGAAAAAAGCATCTAGAGCTGTTACATGAAAATAACCAGGTCACCAGTAGCACACTTGAAATAAAGCTTTTGTAGTGCTCATAAAGTGAGAATTCGGTAATTAAAATGTGAACCCATTATTGTAGATCTTTAGAGAGTTTGTTGATAAAACAAAGAAAGGCATGCTTTGCATTAAAAAAGAATGAAATGCAGTTTAGTGATAGAAATTTTATATAACCTTTCTACCCTCAAGGTGTTAGAGATGATTATTTTGACATATAGGTAGATAGGTGATGTTTTCACTATTTGGAAAATTGTTAACCAGCTAGAAAATTGTCATTCTTTTCCTCATTAGCTTCTGGAGACCTTGAGCAGTGAATTTTGACTTTGGAACTAAATTGTTCTGGGCTGGAAGCAAGAAAGTATTCTTAAGTCAAATAAGTTTGGGTTTTTCAGTAAACTATATCCCTCAGATAGAGTTTATAAATACACTTTAGTATTTTATTTTGTTTTTATTTTTTATTTTTATTTTTGATTATTATTATTTTTTAAAGATTTATTTATTTATTTGACAGACAGAAATCACAAGGAGGCAGAGAGGCAGGCAGAGAGAGAGGAGGAAGCAGGCTCCCGGCTGAGCAGAGAGCCTGATGCGGGGCTCGATCCCAGGACCCTGGGATCATGACCTGAGCCGAAGGCAGAGGCTTTAACCCACTGAGCCACCCAGTCGCCCCTTTATTTTTTATTTTTATTTTTTAAAGAGTTTATTTGAGGGGCGCCTGGGTGGCTCAGTGGGTTAGAGCCTCTGTCTTTAGTTCAGGTCATGATCCCAGGGTCCTGGGATCGAGCCCCGCATCGGGCTCTCTGCTGGGCAGGGAGCCTGCTTCCCCCTTTTTCTCTCTGCCTATCTCTCTGCCTACTTGTGATCTCTGTCAAATAAATAAATAAAATCTTAAAAAAAAAAGACTTTATTTGAGAGGGAGAGAGAGAGCATGGGGGGGAGGGTCAGAGGGAGAAGCAGACTCCCTGCTGAGCAGGGAGCCAGTTGTGGGGGACTCGATCCTTTACTCCAGGATCATGACCTGAGCTGAAGGCAGTTGCCTGACAGACTGAGCCACCCAGGTGCCCCTATTTTAGCGTTTTAAAAATTGAGGAGTTAAAGAAAGTGGTTTAACTTCGTTCAGCAATATATTATCTAGTTTATTGACTGGTGACCCCCTTCTTCCACGTAATACTTAGCAGTGCATCTTTTACTGATTTAGGTGAAGTTTTTTCTGTTTTATAAAGCTTCTCACAATATCCATGACTATTTCAACACTCAGGTGATAGGCCCTGATTACATCCTGAAGCACCTCTTTTGTTGTTCGTTACTGATAACTTATTAGAAAAAATTCTTTTATATTTAGCCAAATGCTGTTTTTCTTTAATATCTGTCCTTTTGTTGTTTTGCTTCCTAAAATTATGTAAAATATATAATTACTCTCATCTTAATACCTGAAGATGCCTTTGCTAGCATAGTGATTGAAAGCTCAGGCTTTGGAATCAGACTGCCTGGATTCAAATTTTAGTTCTACTGCTTTTACTATGTGATCTTGGGTGAGTTACTTAACTTCTCTGTGCCCCAGTTTTCTCATCTGTGAAATGGGAATAGCAGGAATACCTTAGTTAAATGAAATGATTAATAAAAGAGCTAATTACATAGAATGTTGCTTTTTTGTCCCTTGGGAAGCAGATATTGAGATGGACTTTATAGTGTGAGAGATTTTTTTTTTTTTAAAGATTTTATTTATTGATTTGACAGAGAGAGATCACAAGTAGACAGAGAGGCAGGCAGAGAGAGAGAGAGAGAGAGAGAGAGAGAAAAGCAGGCTCCTTGTTGAGCAGAGAGCCCGACGCGGGACTCAATCCCAGGACCCTGAGATCATGACCTGAGCCGAAGGCAGCAGCCTAACCCACTGAGCCACCCAGGCGCCCCTATAGTGTGAGAGATTTTATGGGGGGTAGATAATGCAGTGGAAGAAAAGGGAGTACAAGCTGAACTGACCTACAAGAGCCTCAATCTATGATATAGATTAAAAAAACAACAGCAAAACTCCACCAATCCAACGGGGAGCTCCAGAGCAAAGATCACCTGTTAGAGGAGTTCTGCATTGGTAAGAAATGGCTAGGTTCTGGTATACCCACCATATTTAGTCACAGGCTCAGAGCTTCCCCAGAAGAGTCTGGACTCAGGTGGAAAGCTAAGATGAACAGCTGGAGGCCGTTAGCTAACTGTCTCCATGCATCTGAATGCAAGTTTGTTCTTTCTTCTTTCATTTTTATTTATTTATTTTTAAAGATTTTATTTATTTATTTGATGGAGAGAGATCATAAGTAGGCAGAGAGGCAGGCGGAGAGAGAGAGGAAGGGAAGCAGGCTCCCTGCTGATCAGAGAGCCTGATGTGGGGCTTGATCCCAGGACCCTGGGATCATGACCTGAGCCAAAGGCAGAGGCTTTAACCCACTGAGCCACCCAGGTGCCTGTTCTTTTATTTTTTTATTTTTATAAATGCAGGGCTTGAACTCATGATCCTGAGATCAAGACCTGAGCTGAGATCAAAAGTTGGTTGCTAAACCAACTGAGCCACCCAGGCACTCTTCTTTTTTTCTTTTCTTTTCTTTTTTTTTTTTTTTTTAAGATTTTATTTATTTGACAGAGAGAGATCGCAAGTAGGCAGAGAGGCAGGCAGAGAGAGAGAGAGAGGGAAGCAGGCTCCCCGCTGAGCAGAGAGCCCGACGTGGGCCTCGATCCCAGGACCCCGAGATCATGACCTGAGCCGAAGGCAGAGGCTTTAACCCACTGAGCCACCCAGGCACCCCTTTTTTTTCTTTTAAATGCAAGTTCTTTCTTGAAGGGAGATCCAAGTAATTGCCACAGTCCATTTCTTGTCTTGCAGGATCTAGGTCTCCAAACATTTTCTGAAAGCAGCTCTTGCAGCGTTGCATGGACTTCCCTCTCTCTCTCTTATTTTAGTATTTTATTTTTATTTATTTATTTTTTAAAAAATATTTTATTTATGTATTTGACAGAGAGAAA